TTTACGGAGTTGTTTCTTTTTTTAGGTAGGTATTATAGAAGTATTACCTGACATGTATGAACTTTTAAGAAAAAATGATGAAGAAAATTTGGAGAAAGAATTATTAGATTATTACATAGGATTTTCTAAAGTATTTAAACTCTTGGCCTCTTCTAAAAAAATAATAATAGGACATAATATACTTTTAGATTTAATGTTTATGCATCAACAATTTTATAAACCATTGCCAAGTATTAAATATTCCATATAATATTTAATAAAATAATATTTTATTGTTTTTTTACAATATTTAATAAATTATATAATTTAAATTTATATATATTTTAGATTCATATAATGAATTCAAAAGCAATATACATGAATTATTTCCACAAATATATGACACAAAATTTTTAAGTTACGAAGTACGAAAATTATTTAGCAAGGAAGAAGGTAAAAAGCAATGATAAAAAGAAAAAAAAATTATAATAAATAATATAAAAGTTGTATAAACATATGAACATGTTTTTCTTTAAGTGAGTTGGAAAATAAGTTCATTGAGTACTTTATACGAATATTTTACAACTAAAGGAAAATTATTAACCTTGAATTCACCAAAGATAGCAATTAATGAAGAATCTTCAAGTAAATTACTTTTATGATGATTTATTAAAATCTATTATATTTTAATATAATTTTATATTCTCAAATTTTATTATATTATAGACTCAGATATTATCCTAGATGAAAAAAAATATCACACTGCTGGATGGGATGCTTACTTTGCTGGATATATATATATAAAAATGGCACATATATTTTGTGTACATAAATTTGGAACGTATGGTCGATATTTATATAATATTTATATTATAATTGTATCGTATTTATTGATCTTGAATAATATTTTTTATTTTTAGAGGTTTGGAAGAAAGAAAAGTAACGCATGCTGAACTAATAAGTAGCATAAAAAACTTTGTAAATTGTATAAATATAACAAGAGGCAATGAAATGTATATGGTGAGAGGATATATATTTCTTTTGATAACTAAGATATATAAAATAATAATTTTAATTATTGTAATATTTATGTGTATATTTTAGAAATTTGATGGTCCAGATCCAATGTTATCAAGACCAGAATGGCTTCACGTGAAATTAAAATCACCATCTGTAGATATTAAACAGGTATATTCAAATATAAAATTATATTTAATAATATCATTAGAAACATCTAAATATAAATATTTTCTTCTAGTTGATGGAGAAATTTTCATCTTTTGGCCAAGTGGATGTGATGCCTTTTGCTCAAAGACGTGTTTTGGTAGCTGTAGCAAACCATAAAAGGTTAGAAATGTTATTTGCTTTTATTTTTTTTATCGTTACATAAAATAAAAATAATTTATTGAAAATATGTACAAAACGATTGATTTGAATTAATCTAAAAAATGATATAATATTTCCATCATTCTTTAAGGAGCGACAAACCAGTCGATACAATTGAAAGGCCAGAATAATGTGCGTATTTAAATACTTTTAGGCAAACAGCTCATTTAATATGAAATAAATTTAAACTTCGTTGTCGTCCAGCATAAATATCTTCATGGCTGGCCGTCAAACTGACACAAGACATGCTTGCAGAAACTCGTATTTTACGCTTTGTACTTACATCATAATTCGGGTTATCAAAACAATGAGGTGAGATTAAAGGAAAAGTGCAAATACGACCAATCCATGTAAACATATCGCGATTTCTATAAATATCAAATGTAGAAAAAGGACAGGTGTTTCAGGTATCTTTTATATTTTACCTTACGCATCAGGCAAATATAATTAGGTATTAAATACGCAGTTGGTATTTTAGTATGAAGCTGCTTCAAAGTAAGGTGCCGGAACAATTTTGGATCTTATCCAAGGGCAACCGCGTATACTCATCATTGCACTTACAAAGTAATATCGATGCACGTGATTTTATATGACGTAACCGCATTTTCGTTTTGCCAAAATTTGTCCTAGTTAATACATTCTTGATATTTTAATCGCGTATTGTTTCGTAGGATTTTGAATGCATAGATCAAATGTGATTCGCTTCGATGGAAAACCAACAGGTAAAAAGATTTCAAATTCATTTTAAAGTTCAGATATATAAGCGAAAGTATAGAATCTTTTATACTTTTAAAACGTAACAAGACCGATATAGCATTACCGAGAAAGAGATTAATTATAATCGTGCGTCTTGTCAGTTGAGCATCACCAGGAAAACTATAAATATCAGCGGAATAGGTGAACGACCTAAGAACCCTTCAACGTCTCGCAGATCTCTCAGTATAAATCTCTAGAAGTTCATATATGAATTATAATATAAATAATAATAAATTATAATATTATATATATATATATATTTTTTTTAACAAAAATAATATTAATTTTTAATTTCTTGAATTTTAGGATCTCAAGCTTTAGAAAATACTCATGTAAGGACTTAAACAAGATTATTTTAAAGTCTTTTAAGAATTTTTTTATAGTATTTTTTTAGATTTATCTAAAATATTTAAAATTATATTATTAAAATAATTTAAATAATGTTATTAAAGAAAATTATTACGAAGTATTATTTAATTTATTACTTCACTCAGAATTCTAAGAATTGAACACTCCATAATTCATTATACGCATAAAATAACAATTATATTCACTTTTTCATAATACTATAAATCACTCGATCTTTAATGTAAGTAGAATATAGTGCGTGACAAGTAGTCAATAACACAACGTGATCAATGAATCTTATTTTACGCGAGTATCGACACGTTCGAACGGCAACAACTCTTACGGTTTATTTCTTCAATCGGATCGAATGAACGATCGATCGAATTTTCTTTATTCAGACAGCTTAAAATCACAAACGAGAGCAAGCATCGATATCAAATACATTAGAATCCTTTTCGTTTTCTATTTTCCAAACTATCGAAACAATAACCTCTTATACGTGTAAATGAGCATCACTGCTGGAAAATTACTACAAATTACTCCCTACCGTTTCAAATCGTAAATTTTGATTCGCGTCCTAACGTTTATTGTTCCACCTACCACTTAATAGCGATTTCCTATAGAATTCGTTTTAACTGAACGTATCTGAAATTAGATCACTTAATTATCTTATATCTTAAATACATTTAAATTTATAAAATATTTTTTAAAAATTTTACTAATAATTTTGATTATATAATAATATAATATTTCATCTTTTTCATATATAAAAATATATAATTAAAAACTAAATTAAAAAAGAATGTATAAAATTTTAAATTTTTAAGATTTTATAAAAAATATGATAAAAATTTACTTCTTTCCACGTACGTTTTATTTATTTTTCAAAATTAATACAAACATAAAGTACTAACGAAGTATTATTGCAATGTTTGAAAAAAAACGCTAATGAAAACAATAATTGTGGAATGATAACTTGGATCGAGAAATTGTACAACTTATAAAAATCATAGATTGGAGACAATCGCGAAATCAGCTAATTTCATCACATTCGAATTAGATTGAAATGAATTATCATTCCCCCCTATCAAATATGCATTTTCTTTCGATGCGTTAAACCGTTTAGCACAATTCACCACGCGTTCATATATCACAATGCGTCAGAAAATCTGACGCTGGCATTGTTCCAAGAGTTTCCACGTGTCCACGTGTGTATCGTTTTTACTGTACAACTTTTGTATCGGATTCGCGTGTATCAAATTATTCGAGTTAAACGATCTGAGAGATCGTCGTTGAATAAATTTTGACGTATGCAATTCTTGATCGTGTGAAGCTCTAATTTTATGGGGGAAAAATTGATTTAAGGGAATTTATTTTGAATGAATTATCATTTATAAAATTTTCTTATCCATTAAAGCGTAAACTCAGATTTATACAATAATTATTGTAAATAAGGAAAAAATAAAATAGAGCAAATATTTATTTAATTTTACTATTATTATTATTAATAAAATTGTATCGCAAGCATGCTGTATAACGTAGTTACCGATGAGTGCAGGTTGCTCAATGTAATCGATACGAAATTATTTTTACCCATGTATTATTAATCGTATTATAAATCGTGGTCGCTTGGAAAATTCTGTTGCAGCGCGTTACACATATTGAGGCATTTCAATAGCAGCGAAGAATTTCAGGTGGCATGGTATAGCCGCATAAGGCACGCGACACCCATCAGCATTTGTTTGTGGTACGTTGAAAATATTTTTCATATCTTATAATTGATTCATCATAAGGTCAAGGTTTGATACAATTTTTACATTAACGTTCAACATTTTTTTTCAATGAATTTATTATGGAAGAAAATTCAAAGGTATTTAACGTAGTTTGCATGTTTCGTTATAAATATATACATTAACATGAATTTATAATAAAGAAGAAAATTTTAAAATATATCAAAGAAGAATAGATGAAATCCATGGATCTATCTTTTAACAAAGTTGTTGTAACGATCGTTGTTGACTGGATCGTTTCTGTCCATTTTCAGAATTCGCGGGGATCCGTGATCGAAATTCGGTCTCGAGCCCTAAATTCGATCATCGTGTTTCAGCTTGAACGAGATCCGAATCCGCGTTACGTCAAACAAATTAATGATTCTTCCACGGTCCTCCTCGTGGCGGCAGACTCTCTAATTAGCACTAAGATTGCCGTAGATGCACAAGTGACGATCGCGATGCCAATTGTTGCCACCTTAGCCAATCCTATAAAATCGTCGGATTCTTTGTTGCTCACCTTCGATGCTTGTTAAGACGATTTCGAAACGTGGATTGCGTAATTGATCATCGATTGCTACTACTAATCGCATGGTTTTCCATTTATTAAAATTGCAACCTGTTGGTGAATTAAATTGTAAAAGTAAATTGTTCGTTAATTTTTATATCTCTGATTAATCGTTTTAATTGCAGGAGCGGAGTCATCTTGTCCGGAAGCTTATTTGTCTGGATGTTGAAAAAATGTTTTTAAAAACTTACTCGAATGTGAATATTTACCTGAATGCAATTGCGATTAAATAATAATCGTGTAAATAATAGTAGTTATTAATTAAGGTAACTGTTTATTTATCGATTAATAATTGTAAGAAAATAATATTTTATATAATATTGTATCGCTAACAAAATCACAGATAAATAGTTAATTCGACCTAGATAGTTTTATTAAGTTCATTGAACCGTTATGGTTTTTCTTACAAGGATAGCGAAAAACGAGGAGAAGAAAATGAAAAATGAAAGAGAGGTAAGAAAGTATGGTTCAACTTCCGTCCGACTATTCAGCCCAGGAAGAATATCTCCGTCTTTGTCTTCTTTTCTTACGCTCGTTCGCGAACACCGGCCGCAGAATCTATTTAAATATTAGATTGAAATCGCGAGTGGAATCTTTGCGTGAGCTGTTATTATTATTTCTCGTTCTGGTTTGTCGACGTTCCGGGCCAGAGCTCGTTTTCGTCAAGGAATCTATCCACCGTTGTGCCAAACCTGTGTGTTTGAGTTTTTCAAACTCGTGAAAAATCCAAGTAATTCTTTCCAACTTATCCATCGATCGACACGCATCTTTGCATTTATTATATCTTTTATCTTATATTTTGTTATTATACTTAGGTATATAGTTTTGATTTTTATCAAAATACATCTTTTACATTACATCTTCTACGAATAATTTTCTTCAGGCACATAATAAAAATTCATAAGATTCTTAGAAGATTGAAAATTTATTCAAATAATTATATACAACAATAACGTATTAAACAAAACGAGGAACAAGTAATAGTATGTGACAGATTGTATCATAAATTTCGTGGCAATCTTGGCAGAAATGTTAGGACAGTCACGTTAAAAAACGATTCAAATAATATTTTTCATTGTGAACAATTGTTAAAAATATGATAAACATTGTAAAATCTTCAAGAAAATATTCCTTTATTAATCATGTCACCGTTGATGAATGCAACAAATATAACGATTCCAAATTCCTATCCTAGGAGAAGAGGCATGATATTCTTCTCGTCACGTTTTAGTTGCAGTTACTCGCGCGGATCACTTTGTGCTACTTTGTACTTATCACAGAATCCTGATGGCCGAGGAAGAGACCAAGTGCTTCTCGATATTTCAAAAGTTTTCTCTGGCCAGCACCCAAGGCTAAAACACTCGAAATAACGCAGTAGCAATTTATGTAGGCGTACTGCGGGACGGTCAGCCTGGTCACACTGGTATCCGGTGGCAGGTGGAGCAGCTCTCGAGGTGGATCCCATTCTGTGTCTCTCTGGATCCGGATTCAACGATAGATGTAAAGGTCGCGAGCGTCAGGAACGAGGTCTATGGAACTAGGTTAACTTCACTATTTTCTCTTCTTATTCAACATCGATATCACGAACCATATGAAGCTATAATTTCTTTAGGATTCTCTTGGTAATTGCTGTTAATTATCTTTGTATCTTATCCATTATGTATCTTCTTTTATTATAGTTCTTTTATTGCCATATTTATTTTATTAAAATTTGTTGGAAATCAAGATTAATTAATCTTGTCACTATTTAAATTATATTTAATATCTTTTTATTTTATTCCAAATCATTATTTTTTTGAAATTATATTTTCAAAGAGATAAAAAATAAAGAAAGATGATTGGTTTGATTGGTTATCATTAATATTGCAGATAGTACACTATAATATGAATATTCTAGTTCATATATTTCTAGATAAAGATAAATACAATCTTCACACTTTTCTCAAGTGAAGATTGAAAGAAGAGAAATTATACAACAATTAAATATTTCAATAAATTATTCCAGATCATTGAAATCTTGAAATTTTTTTCAGAAATATTCTTTAACTTAAGATATTTAGATTCAGTCATGCTCACCTAAAATAAACCATCATCTCTCCTAAATTTTCTATCATTTCCATATGTATTTCCAAATTAAAATTCCCCATTTTCTTATTATTTTCTTATTTCACAGAATAATTAATGAATGAATAAAGTCTCAAAAGAAAAAAATTGATTGGTAACGAGAACTACTTTATTCCCCGTACAAAAAAGCTTGAAAAATGATATCATGTGGCCACCCAAAAATACTACGAGAGGTGACTCGATCCAATCGCCTTCACCTATCGGTCCGGCCAGGACAAGAGGCAGCTTGGTCGGGTTGTACTGCCAGCAAAAAGAAGAGACGATTGAAAATACCCATGTTCTGATCTCTCACGTGTTTCGAAATCCGTGCACCCGAGAAATCGTAATGTTCTATCAAGAAGCAACGGTGTGGGCCAGGCTGTGCGCGATTTCGCTTTGGCATCGGCCAAGCACCTGTCGCACGCATCGCCACAGTGGAAAATAGAAAATCGTTTTCGAAAAAAGCACGCGCATGCGCCGACGTAACGCGATTACGTGGGTGTGTCGAGATTAATTGCTCGCGCCAATTACCGAAATAATGGTAAACGGTCCCTTGCAACCATGCATAATTAAATCAGAATTTCGAAACGAGAAGATTGTTAAATAAGGTGATGAAAATTTAATCGTTTTGTTCTTTGATATGAATAATATGGATTCTTGTTAGCTTTTGGAGAATTACAGGAAAATTATTTTTTTTTTTTATTTATCAAATTCTATATACTAAACTTTATAAAATATAATGCAAATTAATTTAGATTATATGTATTTTAGGTTAAAAAAGAAAATGAGGAATATATAAAGTTAATGAGAACATGAAAATTTTTATATAAAAATAAGAAGTTAGAAATATTTTATTGAAAATTTTTTGTGATATTGGTAATATAAAAATAAATTTAAAAAGTGTCAAACTTTTTTCTCATTGTGTCCAAGTTTTCATTTATCGATCAGTAATATGAGAATTAAAAAAAAAATGATGAAATATGAGAGAAAATTTTGCTTTTAAAATAATTGTAACAAGGAATGGATAACAGAATAGAGTTAAAGAGATACCTTTGAAATAGCGGAAGTACAAAAATCATCTTTCTCCGGAGGGACACCAGAGGTCCCAGCAGCTTTTCGTTCGAAAGCTCTCTAGGACTATTTTTGTCCATAAGCTGAATAGCGGAAATAGCCTAGCCTAGCCCCTGGCCTAGAGCGTAGGCTTGACCGGCCATAATAGCGTCTCTTTCAAGGATATATCGTGACATCACGATTTCTTTCGAGACGTCAGTATCTATTAAGATGACGTTTCTTCTTAAATTATCAATTTATACATGCTAATTAAATATAAATAATATAAGAGTTTTCATTTGAAATATGAATGAAACAATTTTCTAATATATTTATGTTTTATCTTATTTTTACATTGTATTCGTAATTTTAATTTTTTTTTTTTATTAAAAATATATATTATATTAAATATTTTCATGCAAGTTACATATCTTAGGATAGCAGACGTTACGTCTTCTCTGATCATTGAAAGCACACAAAAATAATCCAACGTTTTACAAGAAGCACGGAATTATAAATACTCCTGAGCACATTCGTCTTGCTGAAATGGGTTTTTGCTTCGTTGAAATAGTCAATGAACGTCCCTATTTAAAAGGATATATCTATTTATATCTATTTATTTTTTTTATGGATCAAAATTTTTATAATTATTAATTCTTCTCTAACTTGTAACATTTTTAAATATAATTTTTATCTGCTTTAATTATATTGTAATTTATATTTAATAAAGAAAATTTTTTGTTATTTCAGAATATTAAGTGCTGTAATAATTTAATTCACTCATCTTCTGGTGCCATTCGTTCTCTGAAAAATGAAACCATTTTCCTGAACACACCTGTCCAGTTCCTAATATCAATATCTATTATAACGGATGACGTAAAATGAGATGGTAACTTCAAAGGTAAGTAATAAGAATATTAAAACAGTTTTCATTTAGAAATTTGTTTTATTTAATCTTTTTTCAAATTACAACAACAGTTGTTCCATTTCATGAACAACTTATTAGAAACTGCGCGTTGACATATTCGAATTCACTCAGATATTTACAATGAATGTCTCATACCGCATTTATAATATTGTTAACTATTTATAAACACTTTCATAATATTTTATAAATAGTTTGTTTCTTGATAAAAATAGTTCGATAAATTATACAATTTGTAGAGCTCATTTTGTGAAACTAATAAAAATTGTAAAATGGAATGGAAACAAAATTTAATTTAATATTTTATGTAAATAATATTTTTCCTTTTTCTTCTCATATTAAATTAAAAAATATTGAAACAAATTCTTAATAATAAAAATTATTTTATAATAAATTATTGCAATAAATTATATTTGTCGGTTAATAATATGGTACACTTTAAAATGAATATTCTTCCCAGAAAATTGCTGATAAACTTAAAACATCTTGATAGTTTATATTAATAACAGTAATTATTTTACATGTCTCGTAAAATTTACACATAAACACATCATAGTTAACTAACGTGTCATTCGACAAGTTATATCGGAGTTAAGTGCACGTGTACCTGATATTCTATGACCTTCTTGCGAACTTTGTGTCACATTTTCAACTTGTTTTTACCTTGTATAAACTCTAAAATTAAGCTTTTCGCTTCTAAGTTTTTGAAGATTCAAATACTCAAGTAAAAAAAGAAGAAGAAGAAGAAGAAGCTTTAAATTTCTAAATTTCAAATTTAAAAACAATATTCTTCGAAATAACTACTCACAAAATTTGCAACAATTTTAAAATATTCAATTTCTCAACTTTCAAATTCTCGAATAAAAAAAAAAATGTTTCAAAGTTTGAAATCTCTACTTTTAAATTTTAAATTTAAAAATGATATTCTCCAGGGAAACACCGTGAAGCTATCGACGCTTGACGATGATGACAGTGTCGCAGCAGTTGGTGCGTACGCTTGATAATCCGCTCGCACCCTTGACGCCGGCATCCCGTCCACGTTTCTCGCCAAGTCCGACCTCGGCGTATCCTTGCGACTATTTTCGCTTGTAACACGTTCCGACATGATAGATGAGAGTTTTCTGCGTTTCCTCCACGTCCCCGTTGCTCGAAACCTGCCAAACATTCCCGTTCAACCTAGTGGCACGGAACGTCGAATAATTTAGGACCGCGGACAATACCTGTCGTTTCTGCTACCATTTCGTCCTCCGATCGTCTTGTGCAGCTCCCTCTCACCCTATCCTCGCCAACGGTTGCCAGCCCTCATTTTTGCGACGTTCGAAATTTCGCGTATACTTTACTCGATAATATTATTTTGAGACGAATGATATATTGATAAGAATGTTGATCTTTCAATAATTTAATTGTAATTTAATTTAAACCTTTGCCTTACTTTAGAAATGTTGGATCAATATTTGATTTTATTCAAAATTTCATATATGAATCGAAATAAGGAAAAATATTTAGAATTGTCGGTATTTTTTTTTTTAGAGTACAATAGAATTTGTGATAAGTAACTTTTCAAATTATATGATAATCGTTATAAAAGTTAAACGGGAGCAGGATTGATATTGAATACAAAAATTGTATACTTTATTGAACTTCGTTTAAAAAAAAAAAAATTATTATTTAAGGAGTTAATAAGAGAGTGAAAATAATAGATAGGGTTAAGGGTAGGATGTGGATATTCAAGGCGACCACGTGTTCGATCGTAGACAGATTTCTTACTCGATATAAAAATAGAGTTATGCTTTCATTGAGTTGCACGTGTAATGAAAGACAGAGATCACCTTCTTTTCTCTTTTGCTCCCTTTTGAAAAGAAAAATTTTATTTTTCTTTTCTTTTGTATTGTTTCTCTCTTTGTTTTTAAATTAATTAATTAGTATTAAAAGAAATATGATTTATATAAATAATATCAGGATTTTTAAACGATTAAGTTAGGAAAAGAGGAATAATTTCCGTATTTAATGAAAAATTATTTTGTTGAAGGTTTAGATTTAATCTGCAAGTATCTCTGTTTAAACGAATTCGAATATCGTTCTTCTAAACGTAATCTCTGACTCTTCGCCAACAATAGTTACGTTAGCTCAGTTCGTATCTTCTTTATATCTACCTTCTTCTTCTTTTCCTGCTTCATATGTAGTTAATCATGTGGAATTCATCATATTGTCATAAACTGTCTGTTCGTTTGCTTTTTTTCTTGCAATTTGATGAAACAGAATGAATTTCGTGATTTAAAATAAATTTGGTAAAAAATATGTGGGTGTACAAAATTTTAAAAAAATTAATTAATAAATATACTTAAATCAGATTTTATAAAAAAAATTAATAATTTTTTAATTATTTTTTTTTTTAGAATTTTTGTTTTAAAAGTATTTCTATATTCTTGGTTATTTTTTTTTTTTTTTTAAGTATATTTTATTATTATCTTTTTATTTATTTTTTTTTCATTCTATCTTTATTACTATCCTTTTAATATGCTTTTTTTTATGTTTTGTTATTATATTCTTTTTTTCATTTTCCAATATTTCTTTTTCATATTCTTTAAAAATTAAAAAGTATTATATTATTATTTTTCTTAACATGAAAACAAGACTTCCTCGTCATTTTCCTTAAAATAATCACCCATGAAAATCAATGTCCTTCAAACTATCCTGTCAGAGCAAAAAAAAAAGCAGACTGATAACCCAGAACAGGGTCATACACAGGGTGAATAAAATAACTTCATAATTTCACAATTTGTTTTTCAACAATATCAAGAAATACTTCAAATATAAAATAAATGCTTATATGATATATGCCATTATCCAATTTCACTTAACAAAACAATTTTTTTATATAACTTCAACAAGTTTATCTATAAAAAGAAATTATTAACATCAATTATATTTATCTACTACAAAATTCCAATTTTCATTTCAATATATCTTTCTATTCTTAGAAGATTAAGTAAGATATTTAAATAAAATTTAATAAAATTATTATATTCACCCTGTACATAAATTCTTCGCGTTATTTATATTGAATTTTCCTTGAAAGTCAACCCTACACTTCCAACTCTTTTCTCATCGCATCTTTTGCTCGATCTATCTCTCTCGAGAACTAAAATGATTCTAATATGTATATACTATGTCGCGACTCAGAACCAGACATCTGATGCAAAACATTCACGACCACTTTCATGATGTCGTCAGTCAGTATCGACGTATAAACAATCGCGTGCCATTTATTTATAAGTATACGCACGTGTCGTCGTGGATCGAATTAAAGCGAACGTACGATAGTGTAAGTTTTTCTGGCAAATGATCTGTCCACGAGGATACTAACGAAAATTGCAAAATTAAATTTCTGGCAAAGATCCGTATCTCGAGATCCCACGAAAAATTAATTTCAGGCTCTTTAATGGAGAAGTTTTAATTTTAAGGCACTTTGTGAAAATTTAAAATCAGAAAGTCTACAAATTTGAAATGTTAGATTCGAAAAATTTATTGAATTTGAATTCAATTTAATTAGAGATTATTAAATCGATAAAAATCGATAAACTTGTATTTTTATATATGGAGAATATTATAATTAGATATTTAGATTTATTGTT